ACCAAGAGCTGAGAAGGCCCCATGGAACTGGACCAGGCCCTCTGAATAAGTAGACAGTTGATTAGCTTGAACTGTTTAGGAGGCCCCCAGGCAGTAGGACTAGGACCTGTCCTTAGTGCATGGACTGGCTTTTTGGAACCTAGGGCCTATGCTGAGACATTTTGCTCAGTCTTGGTGTAGGGAGAAGGGGACTGGACCTGCCTCAACCGAATGTACCAGGCTGGGCTGACTCCCCAGGGGAGACCTTGCCTTGGAGGAGGTGGGGATGGGAGGTGGGTTTGGAGGGGGAAGGCTGGGGGGGGTGGGAGGAGGGAGGACAGGGGAATCTGTGGCTGATATGTAAAATTAAATTAAATATAAAATAAAAATATTTTTTAAAAAAAGAATTATGGGTTAATTTAAGTGTAAGAGCTAGTTAGTAATAAGCTTGAGCAACCAGCCAAGCATTTATAAGTAATAATAAGCCTCTGAGTCAATTATTTCAGAAGCAGCTGCTGATTATTTGAGAACAGGCAAGTAGGAGAGAAACTTCCACCAACACATGTGGGGGTGGGGTAGGGACAGATGTCAATCTCAAGATGCCATCTTTTTTCTTTTTTTAAGACAAGGTTTCTCACTGGAAGAACTCTGGAAGACATCTGACCACCAAGCCCCAGGAATCTGCCTGTCTCCAACTCCACAGTGCTGAAAGTGCAAACACGCAAGACCATAACTGGCCTTTTCCTTTTTTCTATTTTTTAACATAAGTTCTGGAAATTAAACTCAAATCCTCAGACTTAAACAATAAGCACTCTATTGCCTGAGCTATTTTCCTGACCTGATGCATAAAATTCTCTATAGATCATAAATTATCATGCTTGTTACATAGTCTATAAATGTTTCCTCCAAAACAGAAAATAATGTAATCTTTATGGTTTATTTTATCTAATACAACATTTAATTCTGATATATTCAAATTGTCTTTTTCTTATGACATATTTTGTTTTATTCATAGGAGTCACACTTTTGCTTTTGAGAAGCATTTTATTTCATTTTCAATCAATGTGGAATTTAATTTATGACTGGCATAAGGTGGAGGACCTGGCCATATTTTTTCCAGTGCAAAGGTAATGTGCTGTAAGTCTTGTCTCCCCCCGCCCCCGATCTTTAATGTCATCTGTAATCAAAACCAAATATCACATAGATATCAACCCCTTTATATACTACCAAGTCAGTCTGCATAGTTACATGCTATATTTGCACCAATATTGCTTCATAAGTAGCTTTAGAATGCATTTCCTGTCTAGTAAAGAAAATTTTCTTATCTTCTTCTTCCTCAGTATTAGTTAAACTATTCTTGAAAATCTCTCTCTATAAAACTTGAGAATCATCTTGAACCACATGAAAAATTATTATTCTGTAGTTAGATTTTAGCATAGTGTTAATATTTTATGAAATTTAACAATATTAGTCAATATTTATTTATATTTTATTATGGACTAAAGTAAATTTTGTAGCTTTTTCCACAATGCACATTTTCCATTATATTATGTTTTACTTTTACTCTGAATGGTATCCTTTATCCTGTTTCATATTCTACTTGGCTAGTATCAAAGATTACAAAGGCTTTTTTTCAAATTTCTTTCTTTAGATGATAGCCTCAATATGCTGTTTCTCAGTTCAAACTCATGAAATTGAGCAATATATGCACGTGATTTTTAAAAATCAAACAAATAAAATACAACTTGATAACTTTGTGTGATTTTTGTTTACTTTGGTTTTTTTTGTTGTTTTTTGTTTTTTTGTCTTATTGAAGATTTTGGTTTGTTTTGAATTTTGGGGGTGTGTGGTTTGAATAGGTATGGCCCCCATAGACTTGTGTGTTTAAATGTTTGGTCCATAGGGAATGGCACTATTAAGAAGTGTGGCCTTGTTGGAGAAAGTGTGTCACTGTGAAGGAGGGCTTTGTGGTCTTCTATGCTCAAACTATGCCCAGTGTGGCACATAGTCGATTCTGCTACCTGCAGATCAAGATACAGAAGTCTCAGCTCCTTCTCCAGCACCATGTCTGCCTACATACCACCATGACAATAATGGACTAAATTTCTGAAACTGTAAGTCATCTCCAGTTAAATGTTTTCCTTTATAAGAGTTGCCATGGTAATAGTGTCTCTTCCCAATAGAAACTCTAACTAAGGGGGGGGGGGGGTTGTTGATTTGTTGTTTTTTTTTTTTTTAAGAGAAATAACATGAAGTTGTGTGGGTAAGGAGGTGGAGAGAATCTAAGAGGAGTTGGGGGAGGGGAAAGAATATGATCAAAATACTGTCCAAAAAAAATTTTATACAAAAAAAAATGTCAAGCAAACAGAACTGCATAAGTATAACAAGAAAATATTCTTTCTGTTTTTCAGTTCACCAATCAAGAGGGACAAAATATTTTGACCTGCTTGCTTTAAACTATTCTAGTAGCTTTCTCTACATGCATTCTTAACACTAAGTCATGATTCATCACCCAACACACTCTCTGTTGACCTGTTGCTGCCTCTAGACATCCTTTCCCCCAGAGGTCACCTCACTGCTTGTACTTTCTTTGTTAGCCATCGCGGTACTGCCACAGTCTACTATCTAAACCTCTGTCTTACTCACTCAGTAGACAGAATCCTCTGTGTAATAGTTTATGATGTCAATATGACTACCACACTTTATGTTTCCTTTCCCCTCTGCCATCCAACTGATAACTATATAGTATATTTTCAAGGGTGGTTACATTTACATTCTATTCTGTAATTATAATTAATTCTTCCCTGCTTTGCCTAGATTGACTCTAAAAGCTGAAAATCAGTATTTACATTAGTATAACTAAAATTTAAATGCTGTTCATTGACTAGCAAAGTTTTGTGCTATGATTAAATTTTTCTCATTTATTCCATCAAGTTTTGATCCATGTGACAATGTAGAATCGCTTTTCTCATACTCTTAGCAACTGTTCAAAATCATAAAGAGTAAGTTTTCCTGTATACCATGCTGTTGGTAATCTCCTCCAGCTTTCCTCTCACTCTACTGTTTTAAATTCATTTCTTTCACTACAGCTCTACTCACCATATGTATGCGAGTGCCCACGGTAACCAGAAAAGGGTTCTCAGTGCCCTAAAACTGGAGTTACAGGGAGCTGCCAGCTGTCTGATGTGGGTGCTGGGGACATGATGCAGGTCTTGTACAGGAGCTAAAAGTACTCTCAATTGCTGAGCCATCTCTCCAGCCCCTCCTTCCTTCTTTTAATACATCTTGTCCTATTTTTTTCATTTTGCAAAGTGAGCATTAGTTTTACGAATTTAACAGTTTCGTAAATATTTCTGGGGATTTTTAACACATTGAGGTTCTATTCCTTGAATTATGTATCTTGAAGAGTCATTTGCATTTTAACATCTTTGGTTTTTCTGGCAACACTGAAGACTTCAAGTAAGTGATTTTTAGTCAGACAGGTCTGGAGACGGTTCTCATCATTTTGCTCCAAGCAGAAAAGCCACTGGTTGGGCCAAGCCCCCAAATGATACTAAGCAATGTCTATATAAATATAGATAGCAACATTCAGGCAGGAGTTGAACATCAAAGTAATACTTAGCATTAGAAACTAAGCCAAGTGGAAGAAGGCCAAAAGTACATTTATGCCCTTGAAGAAGATTCTATTCTTGACCAGTCTTTCTAGAGAGGTAGATTCAAGCTTCAGAGTCCCCTACCTAAAGAATGGAGCCACCTACAGTGAGTGAATGTACCTATTCCAATTAAAATAATCAAGTTAATACCTCACAGAAATGCCCACTGGTCAGTCAGATCCAGCTAATCCCTATTCCCAACTGATTCTAGATTGTGTCAAGATAACAATTAAAACTAACAAATACAGTGCTCAGTCATTAAGTGTTTCTTGAAAAAAAAATAAGCACTATACAAAAACACAAACACTTAAATACATACTGGTTGCTATACATTGTTATATTTGTGTCATCTGGGGGCGTAGTCTAACCAGCTGCTCACTAACCTGGGACAAAAGTGACCAGCCGAGCCTGCAGACCTGCCAGTCTAAAAATATTCACTTGCTAAAAGCATATATCTTTAAAAATAAAATGAAAAATTAAATCTTCAAGATCCATATGAATGCATATATATGCGTGCGCGCGCACACACACACACACACACACACACACACACACACACACACACACACAACAAGCATACTACCACATTATTTAAAGCTTTCTGGTTTATGAAGATTACAACTGTATTCTGTAACTTGCCAAAGGTAATTCCAATGAGATGATGATGACGACTACTCCAAAAAATCATTTACTGACGTTCCTAAAACTCCTAGAACCTCAATGTATTTTAACCAGACGTACGTAAAACACTTTTGACTATGCACCTCCAAGAGGCTGAAAAAACCTGCTGAGCCCACACATACAGTTATAAAGAGCAAGGTGGAGGATTCAGATCTGCCCTTTCTTTGTTCAGGAAAAATACATCTCTGAGATCTAGAACAACAAAACCCAGGTGCCGCTCAAAGTGGCTCTAACATTTGCTCACTGGTGGAGCCAAGGTTTCTCCAAACACCACACCTGGCCTGTCCCTGTCACTGTCTACACTCTCCAGGACTTCTACATATGAACGCTCTCTATCACCGTCTTCACTGTGATGCTCCAACACCTTCAGTACCCACCCAGACTGACATCTAAGGCCCCATGTGTAACTAAAGAGCTGGCATCTTCATAAGTAAAGTGAACTCACCAGGCCATCCTTCTGTAAAGCCATTAGAGTGTCCCTATCTCCATTTCCTCCTCCAGCCACTCGGAGGTATAAACATGTTTGGCTCATGAGCAAAAGTAGCAGAAGAGGACTTCTGTTTGGCATCTGTCTTACTACACACAAAAATGACAATGTTTATACATAAATTAATCTATCTCATTGGCATCAAGCTCAAGCAACACTTTTTTTTCCCTCCAAGTTAATAAAAAATATTTAAGACTTACTTAAATGGTGTAAACAAAAATGGTAAAGTAGCTGCTTTTTTCTGAGTCATCTTCACCTGGGAACCAAGCATGAAAATACATATTATATTATAAATGAGAAAAAATACTGAATTTCATTCTGAAATATAAATATCAGTTAAAATGGCTCTTCGGGGATGATTAACTTCTTTGGAAATAAATGGGATTTTGTGTTATTATATTGTATTGTTTCATAAATATTTAAAGAAAAATTTAAATAATACTTTACTATCTCAGTAAGCTGAGAATTAAGTACATCACTCTTGCAAAAATAGTGTACTGTAATGTAATTACAACAATTCTTCCTTAACTCTTTGAAGTAAGGCAAAGTTACATTAGAGAATAATCTCTGTAATGCTGTCATCTCTAGTCTAATTCTTTTGGGCATAGTCTAATAAATAAGGACTTGATTTGTAGTCTTTATAAGTATATATGACAATCTTATAGTGACACTCCTCAAAGGCAGTTCTATTCCCTCTAACGACCCATAAAACCTGCATTTCAGAAATAAAAAACTTCATTGTTAAGTTTCAAACCCTGGACAATGGCTGAGGTGCCTATTTAACATATCCAAGTAGGCCTGGCCTCCAGGTTCTCCCAGCATCCCTCAGTCCCTACCTGTTACAGGCTATGGCTGGCATTCTCTGCCCTCTACCCTGAACTCTTCAGCCAGGGGCTGGACTTGCCTTCCCCCGAGGCTCTTCCCTATATAATCCAGCCATTTTGGTTACCCATCCCTTTTGCACCTTTGCCCTCTTGGGTGCTGCACCTGGTTCTCCTGTCTCCCCTCTTCCTTCCCCTCCCCCTCTCCTGACATGGCTCAGGGTCATGTCTACTCAGGACTCTACCAGACGCCTCTGGATATGGACTCCTTTTTATCTATAATAAACTTTCTTCCCCACCATACCTACAAGGAGCCATGTCCTTTCCTTTCCTTTTTTCTTTTTTCATTCATTTATGACACTAGGCAAATACTAAAAAGCCAAGATAGTAAGTTATAGAAAATTATTCATTAAAATATAAAATCATATTTTACTTAACACACTTAAAATTTATAGTAGAATTCCTTAGTTAATTTTTTTCACCTTGAACTGTTCAAGAATCTGTACTGCATTGGTAAGCATGCTCTCTGCTTTGAAGAGACCAGTGTTGTTAAGATAATCCACAGGAAGTATTCCCTAAAAAATGAAACATAACAAGTATTTATAATAACAAGCAGTGGTGTTCTGATTGTAAAGCGAGCACAACCTGTAAACCCAGCACTTTGGAGGCCAAGGTGTAGATGGCAAGTTCCTGGTCAACCTGAGCTAGAGTGAGATTCTGTTTCAATAAGAGAAAACAAGGAGCTGTAGGTGGAGTTTTCCTGTCCCAACTGCCTGCTCTTCCCAAATAACTGACTCAGAGACTTAGTATAAATTATAAACACTCAGCCAATAGCTCAGGCCAGTTACAAACTAGCTCTTACAACTTAACCCATTTCTATTAATCTACGTGATGCCCGGAGGCTCGTGGCTTTTACCTCTATTCCATTTTGTGTCCAACTCTTTCTCCATCTGACTGGCGACTCCCTTGACTCTGCCTTCTTCTTCCCATGATTCTCCTAGTTTGGTTGTCCTACCTATAATTCCTGCCTGGCTACTTTCTGGCCAGTCAGCTTTTAACTAAATCAATCTGAGTGACAAATCTTCACTGTATACAAAAGGATTATTCCACAGCAAGGAGCGAGAAAGATGGCTCAGCAATTAAGAGCACTTGCTGTGGGGCTGGAGAGATGATAGGCTGCTCAGTGGTTAGAGCACTAGCTGCTCTTCCAGAGGACCTGAGTTCAATTCCTAGCACCCACATGGTGGCTCATGGTGGCTGGCTCATGACCTTTTTTAATTCCAATTCCAGGGGCTCTGACACACTCTTCTGCTTTCTGAGAGCACCAGGCCGTCAAGTGGTACACAAACACACATCCAAGTGCTAACCGACACATTCATAACATTAAAAAAAAAAAAATGACTGCATGCTGATCAGTGGTTAAGGGCATTTGCTACTCTTTCACAGGGTGAGGACTTAGTTTCCAGCACCCACATGGAGCAGCTTACATGGCTGAACAGGTGAACACATACACACACACACACACACACACACACACACACACAAAATTAAAAAAAAAAAACAAGACAGAAACAAAACAAAGATACACATAAAAATAAATTACTGGATTAAATGACAAAAATTTTAAAAACCATAACTAAAAAAATTTAACTTTCTCACAAAGCAAAAATGATGAATTAAATAAACAAATAAGACTAATTAAAGTCAATTAAAATCTAACACTGGCAGATTACTGCTATGATTTGTCCTCAAATGTTCCCTAAGGGCACATGAGTAAAGACCTGGTCCCCAGCCTGGTGCGACCAGAAGGTGACAGAACAATGAAGAGGTGAGACCTAATGAGAGATGACAGAAACTTTGCGGTGGTCATTTGGGTCACTAGGGACACACCCTCTTGTAAGACTGTGGTATCTTGGTCTTTTGTATCTTTGTCACAAGGCAAGCAGTTTTGGTTTTGGTCTGCCACAAATTCCTGCCACAATGTGTCACCAGGAACTGAAACCTTTAATGATGTGAGCCAAAAATAAGCTTTTTTTTTATTAAGTTGATTATCTAGGATATTATAGCAATGGAAAGCTGACAAATACAACTATGTAACTATGTTGGGCATATTGCTATATACTCAATGAATTAAGTATGTTATACAAAAAGAATAATCACTGTAATATACACAGCTATAATACTTTTTTTTCTTTTTTCTTTCTTTTTTTTTTTTTGTTTTTTTTTTTGTTTTTTTTGAGACAGGGTTCTCTGTGTAGTTTTGCGCCTTTCCTGGAACTTACTTTGGTAGCCCAGGCTGGCCTCGAACTCAGAGATCCGCCTGGCTCTGCCTCCTGAGTGCTGGGATTAAAGGCGTGCGCCACCACCGCCCGGCACTATAATACTTTTTTATAAAACAAAAGAATGTAAATAGGACACATATAAAACACATAAGGATATCCTATTCAATTTAAGAGAAAATTGCCATATATCATGCTCACTCACACACACACTTATGGCAGTCACGATCTTATTACTTAAAGTTCTGAGTTATATTCCATTTTTAACATAAATTTGACATAAATTTGAAAACCAAGTAAGTACGGCTGGTTGTAAGGAGTAATTTCTTAGTTATGTTTTGTTTTTCACCATTTGGACTCTTTTTTTGTTTTGTTTTGGTTTTTGGTTTTTCGAGACAGGGTTTCTCTGTGTAGTCTTAGAGCCTGTCCCGGATCTCACTCTGTAGACCAGGCTGGCCTCGACCTCACAGAGAGAGATCCACCTGCCTCTGCCTCCTGAGTGCTGAGATTAAAGGTGTGCGCCACCACTGCCCAGCTCGGACCCATTCTTAACAGCATTACTACTTCTTGCTGAGGGTCTTCCCCACTGGATGTAATATGGTGGAACAGTAATCGGAGGCCCTGTCCTCCTCTGTAGACAAGCCAGACAATCTAGGTTTGGTTCCTGAGAGTCAGAGAGCAGCAATGCAAGTATGATTTTGTTCCACCCAAGGGATAGTGCCTTGAGCAGCACGGACATGCCAGGGCTTCTTAATCACCAGAAACCATGTAATTAATCTAGCAAGCCATCAATATATTTTCAATAATTTCCCCTTTAAAAAGACTCAGTTTCTGTTACTTATAATCAAAAATTTATATATATCATCTTGTTACTAGAACAGAAAAAAATCATCTATTTTTAAAGAAATAAAACATTCAAAGGCAAGCTTTCTTCCGTGTTATATGGCATATAATCAATTATGAGGTGTTACCTATTTACACATAGATAAGCAGAAAAGACTATAGTTTTAAATATAACTAAAGATTATAGAGAGGCACATAAAAAGTAGATTTTATTCTCACATGGAGTACTGGCACTAAGTGTTACTCCTTACTACTGAATTAAGAGGAAAGGGAACTCCAATAAGGGTGGAGTACTGGCAGTAAGTGTTACTCCTTACCACTGAATTAAGAGGAAAGGGAACTCCAATAAGGGACGCCATCAGTGGTGCAATATCAGCCTAGAAACAGAAGAATTAAGTTCGAGTATAATTCCGCATGTATAAACCAGCAAACTGTATCTTCTCACACAACTATACTTGGACTATATCATATTTATTATAATCAAAAACCTTTAAACATTTATATACTTTTATATATCAGTATCTTTAAATGCCCACTGCTAGAAACAATCGAACTTATGAAAAACTAAATTTGAAAAGTAACCATTAAAGGTCATCAAAATAAAACCACGTCAAAAAGTACTTGACCTATTAGCTAAGAACCTGAACACTATGTGTAAGTTTTTCAGTATCACGCCAAAGCATGCTTTGGTGGTCATAAAAGAATAGCAGTCGACTCTATCAGGAGAAATGTGCACAAGCACTGAAGGACTACGCTCATCAGAAGGACGTCTGGCAACAGTGAAGAAAGCAGAGCCCCAAAGGCACTGTGGGCATTTCCTTTCCAGTTCCTCCTTCTCAGAGTTTGCTCTGTTTCTGTTGCTATTCTTCGTCTTACTACCCGCTCCTGAGCCTACTGTAATCTGCTTTGACCATTCTCACCCACAGACGTCTCACCAAAAGGAAGGTAGGTAACAGATTCTAGTTTCCTAAAGTTAACTGGCTAGTCCATCAGTCCTCAGAACTTGTCAAGCAGCAAAATACTTACAAGTTGGAAGAGACAGTTTCAAATCCTGGCTTGCTAGCTCTGAAAGCTCCAGCAGGTTTTTATTAGACTTCCCCAATGCCTCAGTTTCCTCACCAGTTAAATATCTGTTTCTCCCTTACAAAGTGACGGCAGGATTAAGTGAAATAAGCTTACAATGTATCTACTACAAAATAACCGTCAATGAAGGGCAGATTCAACTGCTGCTTTGGCCAGGCCTCCCTCTCCTCGGACACTGGGATAAATTCTCTTCTTGGATCCATTCATACCTGTTGCTATGTTCCCTCTGTTTCAGTGGTGCTCCCTTTTGAGTACCTCTCTGTTCCTCATTTAATGGAGGAGTTTGTAAAGATTGTGCCTAGATGTATGCCACTCCCAGAAAACTAGTGGTATTCAAACCCTTCCTGTTCATCCTGAAGCCAGAGAGATTCACACACACACACACACACACACACACACACACACACACACACACACACACACACTCCAAGAGCTTCCTCAAGCTTTCGGGATTAAGTCCCCAAGGTGCATCATGCTCTAGCAGACCTGTGCCTAGCTATTTCTGCCTGGCATCCCACGGTCCCAGTGACTCTGACACACGAGCCTTTTCTAACACCCTTCAATGAAATGCCTTCTAGGCCGAGTTCTGTGCTCATGCTGCCCTTCTCCCTGGAAAGCCCTCCTGCTGCTCTGGCATCATTACTCTTACTTATTCTTCAACCTCAGCCTAATCCTAAATTTCCCGGGAAACCTTTGCTAAGCAGAGTTCACCAGACACATACATCCCATGCTCTCGTGGCTATGGGCCTTTCCTACAGTGTTTTACTATCTCACATTTGGTTATACAATGCTTTCACAGCATCAGTTCTCACCTCTACAGTAGAAGCAAGCCAGGTCACAGCTTGTGTTTGCTTTTACTCACAATTACTCACCTTCACACAAGCACAAGTGGGCATTTGAGCATTGGTTGGAGGACTGAACTTGAACTTAGATGTACCTCAACTGAGGCTCTTTCCTCTGATAACCCACAAAACCAGCCAGTACACACAACTCCCTATGTTACTAGGAAGGAAGCTTTGGGGTGGAAGGTGTAGAGTATACACATGTATTTGGAGGAATGCATGCAGGCACAGTGGCGCTCAGAGGAGGATTTAGGGTATCTTCCTTTGGTCTCCATGTTATATTTTGAGACAGGATCTCTCACTGAACCACAAACTTACTGTCTGCTAAGCAGGCTGACTGTTCAGTAAGCTCCTGGGTTCTGCACATTTTTACCTCCCAACACTAAGATTACAAGGCCCATGAAGCCATGCAGAGATTTATATTCAGGTCTTACTTTCTGAACAAGAACTCTTGCTCACCTGAGGCCCCAGAAGGAGTCCTTTATCTTCAATTGAGAGTTTAAAACATTATTTATTTATTATTGTGTGCATGATGGAGGCTGGGAGAGGAGTGTGCTTGCCACAGCATGCATGTGGAGACTGGAAAACAACTTTGTAGAATCAGCTTATTTCTGCCAACCTTAAGTTCTGGGGATTGAACTCAGGTAGTCAGATTTATGTGTCAAGTGCTTTACCCACTTGGCCATTTCAACAACCCACCTGAATTTTTTTTGTTTTTTTGTTTTAATTGGCACAAGATTAGTTAGGCCAAAGCACTTGTTAAGTAGTCAACTTAAGAGAAATATGTCAGAAAAATTTTTGCTACTACCACTATATTGCCTATTTTTGCATATTTTTCTCTTAATTTTTTATAGGGAATAACATAATTAAATTTAAATAGATACCTGATTGACATCTCGCCTCTTCCAGTTCTCCAATCTCCATTCTGAAAGACATAGATATAAAACATGATGTTAAGATTTTTAACAAGAACAAATCATCTTATTCTCAGGCATGCCGGACACTACATATAAAGGGTAAGTATTGGAAAACTCTTAAACCAAACATGAAAACAAAAAAAAAGAAAGAACTGAACTGAAAAAAGCAGAGGGATATTTCTAAAGGGTTTTCAAAAGGAAAACTGAAAAATAAGCCTTTAGTATTTTCTGTGATTTATTAAGCCTTTTAACATGTTCATTTGGAAATATAATACTCAAAACATCCACGGAAACAGAAGGAAGGCCAAGCCTGATGGCGACTGCCAGCAAAGTGACCACTCCCTCACCACAGCTGTCTGCAGTTACAGAGGCAGGTAGACAGCACAAGAGCAAACACACCCTCCCTCCCCTTTTCAACCGTAGCTGTGATGCTCTTATGATCACTAACCTGGAATTTTTAAAACAGTATATTAAGTTACTATTAAAACTCCCTTCATGGGGTAGATCTACTTCAGCTTTTGAGGACGCTCACACTGATTTCCAGAGTGGCTGGACCAGTGTGCACTCCCACCAGCAGTGAGTAGGTGTCCCTTTCCCCCACATCCTCATCACTTGTTGTCATTTGTGTTTGGAGCTTAGTACTTCTGACTGAACTAAGATGGAATCTCAAAGTAATTTTGATTTGCATTTCCCTGATGGCTAAAGATTTGAACACTAAAAAAGTATTTATTCCTCAGCCATTTGTATTTCATCTTTTGAGACCTTTCTGTTTCATGTCCAATCTTCGTTACTGTTGTTTAGTTTCTGAGGAAGTTTTATCATCTAGATACTGACTCTCTACAGAAGCTTTTTAGTTTCCTGTGGTCCTGTTTATCAGCTATTAGTCTTAGTGTTTGCATTACTGGGTTCCTGTTCAGAAAGTCCTTTCCTGTGCCTATAGTTCAAGCACATTCCCTGCTTTCTCTTCTAGCAGGTTCAGGATATCAGATCTTATGTTGAGGTCCTTCCCACATTGCTTTTGGCTGTGGTGTTTACCACAGCAATATGAAGTACCTAATACAGAACTTACTCATATATTTTTGTTTCTAATAGTTTTAATCTCCTACTGGGATAAGTTTCCATGGCATGCATGAGTGCATACATACATCTGCTTTACATGCCATTGGGATACAATGTCATCCTCCACAAAGTTCATTCTCAAAAATGGCTCAATTGAGCTAAAAACAAACAAACAAACAAACAAACAACTTACGTTTTAAGCAAGCCTACTAATACCTTTATGGTTTTATATTAGGCAGTGTTGATAACAATCTTTAGCCACTTGTAGAGCATGAGCTGGACATCCCTATGCTAGTACTAAGATCTATGGAATTAAGAACCATCCCAAAGACAGCACAGCAAATTAAAAAGCTCTCTAAGTTCTATTCATTTGAATCATGACAGTTTACTACTGCTGTATTTTGGCCCCTTCTCAAATACTTCCTCTGTAGGCCTATGACCTGACCTGGTATTCTCTGCTAGCATTAACAATATATAAATAGTATACTGAAAAATGCACCATGACTCACATGAAGACATGCTGTGCTGTCTTCATCTGGGTCCAGAGAGAAATAGCTTGGTACTACATCTAGCTTTTCATATAAGGGATATATATTTTTAGATACTGCAATCTCATAATTAATATATTTTTTGCTTAAATTAGAAAATTTTAATTAATTTTACAATTTTCCTCTATGGAACTATGTATTCTTTCTTATTTGTTTTATTCTTATTTACTTCTAATCAAAATTTTAACATAATAAAAACAAGATTACAATTTGTAATTCCAAGACATTTAGAAAGACCAAAAATAGTTACTAACAGTGGTATATTGGGAAATGTTCAACAAGTGGTTCTGGGGAAAAAAGGAGAGAGGGAGAGAAAGCAAACTAACCAACTCCTTGATTTGGAGTATTTCCATATAACAGTGACAAAAATATTGACATAATCATTAAAATGAGGGATTTAAAAGTGACTTTTAAAAAACTGATGGAAAATGTCAACTTAGTTTAATTTAAGTTGTATTTTAAATGCTGTATACATGCATCTACGACTATAAAGACAAACACTTGTACCTTTTAAAAACTTGTCATCAAACTGCTGAGCGGAAACTTTCTGAGGAGCTTTGATTCCAGCTCCCCAAGTGACTAAAGGAGTTAAAGTCTCTGAAGGATGACCGGCCCCATGGGAACCTACAGCAAAGACATCAAGAGTCATCAGATGGGTACAGAATCACCACCAATGGCAAAATAATCTCTAAATGCTTTGTTTTAAAGAATTGATCCATGTAAGGCTGGGAAAATCAGAGGCCCAAATTCAGAAACTACTGCCATTTTGCTAAATGGATGTAATGTGACTGTCAAACTGTTTTCTCAAAAACTATGCTGATATTCATATATTAGGGCTTTTGTCAGCTTTAGCCAAAAACAGGTGCTTCTTAAAGTGAGGAGCAATAATTGTAGTGATACAGAACTGATCAAAGTGATGAAAACAAGTGGCTAATGAACGTTCAGCCATTAATGGGACATCTATATCACAGGTGCACATACACACCAAGGCCTAGGGATCATCACAGAAGGGGGCAGGGCAGACAGGCAGAAACATTAGGGAAGAGATTTTTCCAGGGAACCATCTCCCAGTTGGGAGCAAGTGTTTCAGACCTCTAAAAAGGACAGCAAGATGTACAGATTCACCATGGTTTAAAGACAAAATGTTCCCCCCAGGCTCACATATTAAGTATTTGCTTTGGGAGGCTGCAGAAACATTAGGATGTAGGGGCCAGCTTACGTCGTTAATCACCAAAGGTATGCCTTTGAGGGTAAAAACCTGCCCTCATCCCGATTTCTCTATCTTAGCTTCCTGTCTACTACAAGGTAAAGAATCCTCTGGAAAAACAAACAAACAAAACAAAACCCTAGAAATACGGCGTTCTGCCCAAGCCAGCCAACCACATCACACCCTCTAAGACAGTGAGCCCAAGTCAATCTTTACTCTTAAGCTGCTCGCCTGCACTTTGGTCATAGCTATGCACAAGGAACTGACACAGAATCCTTTTCTTCCAGCCTCACTGTAAATGGGACAGCAAAAAGCAGTCCTTTATCAAATGGAACCCAGCTCACTAGAACGTCATCTTGTGATTCAAGAGCTCAAATCTCATCTTTATGTCACACTGTTCTGAGTATAAACTACTTTTGCCTTTGACGTAGCTAATGAGTTCGGTGGTCCTAGGCAGTCCTCAGCAGTCCCGGGTAACGCATCTTAACTAGCGTCACTCCCTTTGCCTCCACACATAGGGAATTCCTGGTGGAATCTCTTTTCTAATAGAAAAGTGTGAAGAAAATTTAAAAGTACTTGAGTATTGTTTAACTTTTTTCTACTTTCTCATTTGTAAATGAGACTGTATTCGTTTTACCAATTAGAAAAAAAGATCTTTTATAGAAGGTCATCAGGCTATTTAACGTTTTAAACATACAATTATGTGTTGGGTACTTGTGTATTACAAGCCATCTGATCAGAAGATGATGTCTTCTGAACACAGTATTTGCAAGCTCTACCTGCCACTATCACTAAAGGCAGCACTGAAAGGCAGACTAACCCCAGTCTGTCATTCCATGATCAGAGGTAAAGATAAATGCTGTTTTTCCATCATCGCCATAAAAATGCTTGAACAGTGACACAATTTCCTTCACTCCATCATCAACTTTCTTAATATTGTCCTTATATTCCCTGTTTACAAAAAAAAAAAAGACAAGTTAAATTAATTTAGAAAAATCAAATTTATTCAACCCAGACTCATTACAAATAAATTAAAGAACTGAAGAAATGCTTTCAGATTTAATCTTTACTATTTTAAAATCAGAGCCCCTGGTAAGACTAATTTTTTTTCCTTTAATGAATTAAAAAAAACCCTGAAATAGTTTTCATAGACATTTTAAAAGGAAAACATTGATTAGTAAACATATTTTAATGAACATTTTTTAAATCCTAAGCAGGATAATGGAGACTTTCAAGTTTGTGTCTTATAAACTGTTCTGGTGACCCTAATAAGAAAGTGTCACTATTTAAAGTACAACATACTCCCACCCTATAAAGTGTTTGTGACTTAAATCTACTGCAGTGTTGAGAACAAACTGTACTCAAACTTCCCATACAGTTAACAAAGCTAGTTTAATAGGAATATATTCCTCTAATGAAAACAGTGCATCATGTTAAACTAGGGGAATATGAGATATTAATGCTGGTAATTAAACCAGCAGACATTATAGTTAATATAAAACCAATTCAAAATAAAGAATAAAAATGTAAATGATTTCTTCTTTCTTACGGTCTACAAAGCTGAGACTGACACTGAAGAAGTAATAAGCAGCCTTTATGCAATCATTTGCTGGATACAATGCTGACTAAATAAACACCCAAAGGAATTACATCTTCTGTCATAAAAATCCATACCATAAAATGTTTATGCTTTTGAGATCTACTGAAAATACTCCCAAAATGTGGGCAATTCAGACATCTTTCTCTGCCTTGATAAATAAAGAATATGGTATGCAGAAGATATATGTGCAGCATGGCCAAAGCATAGGTGATTTTAACCACTATAAAATTATACATCATATAGCTGAAAACAATATACAGGATAGCAGTTACATGGAGTATTATTTCTGTTATCATGATTACAAGAAAATTTCATATTACACCTAAATTTCAAACAGAATCGTTATTCCCCCACAAGATCAAATTGGACACATCATTAAAATTACCTTGATGATGGTCGGTGAGCATGTCCATTTGTATCTATTCCTAATAAGTGTAAGAAAAAAACTACTTTTTCTTCATTTACTTTTGAGAACAAAGACTGGTTGCTCCTCGCAGCATCAAAGAAGTCCTACATGCAACAAATGAGGTAAAAAGTAGTTAATTTATAAATAACTATAAAATTAATTCATTTTACAGTTTCATTTTGTCATCAAGATTTACCAACATGAAATCTCTGTTATCAATTCAGATGTTTCTGTCCAAATAATCATTGAGATATTCTGATACAATTAGGCAAAATTATAGAACAGGGAGCTTAATTTTATACCATTCTTACCACAGATCTAGTGTAATTAAAAAAATTGAAGAACTATTTTGTTTATAGGCAAATGTTAAACAGCAGTGGTGGAAACAGTTCAAAAGCATTTATTATACGTAAATATACTCGGCAATGGATCATTTTTCATCATCCTGTCCACTGCCATTTCAGTCAAACTGTGACCTCTTACTCAGGTTGTGAGAACTCCTAACTACTTCCTCTTCCATGACTAGGACCTGCTTTGGGTGTCCTGTGGTGGAGAAATAGCACTTAAAGTACAGTTCAGAACTTATTATATTAACATCACAATAACAAACTAGATTCATAAGCCTTCAGACATAAATAATTCACTTTGACTCCCACTCATAAACATGTATGCAAGTACCCAAGGAGAGTGCTTTAAAATTATTTTAAATAAACAGATTATGTTAACATGTATCATTGTTTACATAAGTGTATATAGATTTAAAAGATGCTAACTTTCAATAAGATGAGTATTGTTGAAAAAATAAAGCATTTAAAAGTATAAGTGGAATAATTAAGAGAAATTATTCAAGAATAAAACTGCCCTCAAGCTACCATTTATATTCTCCTTAACATGAGTTAAATTTATATTTTTTTCCATGATTAGCAAAAACTTTTAACACAGACACAAGATTTGGGAAGCTATGAAATACTAGTCAGGTAGAGTTCAACCTGTGTCTCAACAGTAGTCACTTCGAAAGCATTTCTAAAGTTCTGTTACTTAAGGAGGCTCATGGGCATTTACTAAAGGCTAGCTGGCTAATCTGTTTTGGCTTATCTGATTTTTCTTTCTTTTGTAGGGATTTTTTTTTATGTGTATGTGAATATATGTATGTAACAAGTACACATAGGTGCCTAAGGATTTGGAACTGAAACTATTGGTGGTTGTGAGCCATTTGGTGTCAGTGCTAAGAATCAAACCTGGGGGATCTACAAGAACAGTAGGTGCTCTTAGCTGCTGAGCCATCTGTCCAGCTCCTAATCTTTCTTTAAAATCTAATTTCTTTGTTATTATAAAAGTATTACTCTGAAACAGCATTTTCAAGATGCTCCACATCTCACATGTCCCGCTAATACCAGACAAGCACCAAGGTCAACAGAGGATTAAGAGTTGCCTGCAGTGACTCATCAAAGGAGAAATGGAAAGAAAGTTTTTGTGGATCCTAACGGAAGGCTCATTTTAGCTTAAGACACAAAGTTTTAGAGGGTTACTTCAAAAATGAACTTTGTTAGTAATTGTAGACCATGTAATTTCTTTTAAAAACACATGCTACAGCACCAGGTGCTCAAGTTCAGACAGGCAGCAAATAATTTGAGATGAGTTCACTCAGAAGTAAATTTTCAGGACTCTCCATAAGTGCGTATTTAGTTATAAACCACTGCACAGCAAATACCTCCCCAGGGGTATTCAATGTAAAACAGGACTTAGGACACTGAGGCAAGAAGGCCCCAAACTAAGGCCAGCCTGGGCTACATAACCAAACCCCGTTTCAAAACAAAGCAAAACAACACACACCTTAACTTTATCAAAAACCCAGGTATCCAGTTTTGTGGCATCTTGGGCACCAAAATCCTCTCTTTGAGCATCATAACTATATGTATAAACATGGTCACCACTAGCACCTGAAAAGGAAATTTGAAAAATATACAGATTTAAAAAAAAAAGTTTAAGCTGTCATAAAACACGAAATAATCAAAAGTACTTTTGTTGTTGTTTTAAGATAATCTTGTATATTATCCACACTAGTCTTGAACTCATGGCCTCAAATTAACCTTCCTCTTAAGCTTCCTGAGTTCAAAGAATACAGGTATGCCCCCATCATACCTAGCTCTACGTAAAGAATTTTATAAGTAGGCAGAATTAATTACAAATTGCTTTATGATAGAGACAGAAAAGATAGGAGAAAAAACATTTATTTTATGTGCCATGGATAATGTTATATACATCAACATATTCTTTTTGTCCTCAAAATAACATATTTTACTTGCCAAAATCGAAATCCTAATATGTAATAAAATAAAAATAAGTTCTGAAGTTTGTTTGCATTGAAATGTGTGCTCTCAAGAGGTTATAATATAAGATAGATGAAGATAGCTAGCATAACCCTTTCTAAAACAAACTCAAACATTTCACTTGTCTTAAAATTATATGTATTTGTCTCAACATAAGGAACTAAACAGACTAGAATTGTAGTGTGCACCTGTAATCCCAGTACTAGGGAAGTGGAGAAAAAAAAAATCACAAGTTTGAAGCCAGTCAGACCCTGTCTCAAAAGCAAGGACTGAGGGGAAAAGGTCAAAACGTGTGTGTGTGTGTGTGTGTGTGTGTGTGTATACACACACACACACACACACACACACACACACACACACACACACACACACAAATAGGTGGACAAATATGTTAATCTTATAAATTCATAAGATTTGTATTAAGAATCTATTGTAGCTGAAAGATTTCCTATGTCCCATCCAGTCCGCAGCCACTCAGACACAAGTAAACACACAGGCTTATATTATTTTTAAACTATGGCCATGGCAAGCTTCTTGCAAGCTAATTCTTATATCTTAAATTAGCCCATAACTATTAATCTATGTATCACCACATGTTCCATGGCTTTACCTGTGTGCCATTACATGCTGCTCCCTGGATGGCAGGCTGGTATCTCCTCTGCCTCTCCTTTCTCTTCCTATCTGTTTGGATTTTCCGCCTGCCTCTAAGCTGCCTTGCCGTAGGCCAAACAGCTTTATTTATTAACCAATCAAAGTGACATATATTTACAGCATACAGAAAGGCATTCCCCCATCAATCTATAATTAATTTCTGGAGTGGATAAGCTCTTATACATCATGAAGATGCCACAGCATTCTACAACATCAGCTCAGCTCTAGTGACCCTGTGACTCTGCTCAGCCATTCTACTTCCCATATCCCAGATGCAGACATCTGAAGGAGTTGGTTATTTACCTACCAAACATAATGAAACATTTCTATTGGTTTGTGTCTGATTCAGGCATCAGTCCTGTTTAATCAATTGTGGCCAGAAGTAGGAAGATTAATTTGGTAAGCCACCATAACTTAATCAGCCTTCACTGTTTCCAAAAGAAAGAAATATATAAATAGCAAATGGGAACTGTCCAGTGTAATACCAGTTTATAAACAGCATATGTACAATTCTGAACACATAGTTTGCTTTCTGGACACATAATTTTCTTCAGTAGTTCCACTTATATCCATACTATATATATGATGTTATAAAATCTTTACATTAAATGATCTGTCTCTTTGCTCCCATTAAAGATCATTTAGTGACAAAAACTTCACCCAACTGACTATAAAATAAATGAATTTTCTAATCAAGAGATGACCTAATATTTGTGGATTTGTTCACATAAACAAACTCAACAAATCCAAATACCAATGCAGTAAACTGTATGTGGCATTTCAATATATTAAATATCATTTCAGTATTATATACATTAAATGGCAAAATTATGGCACAATAAATAGTTTAGTCATTATAAATGTTTGAATATTTGAAAATCTTATGTAACTATCTACTGGCTTCTTTAACAAATTATTTAAGTATAAAGAGCCAGATACCAACACTGTCCCCATAAAGAGAACAAACACTTTGTTAAATGATGCACATGAATCACTGAATTTTAAAAACAAACTTATAAGGTGTTACATTATTACAACACATTTAATAATATAAAGGAAAACTGGAGCTCAAGTTTACAAGGTTGTTATATGATAGAATATATCATTTCATTGAATTCAAAAATACTAACAGTGTTATACAACAATATTTAAAATACAACAAGGGAGAAATCCTGTCTATTGAACTGACAGTCCAATCCACTGTAGGATATATATCTGTTTTTAGAAATGATAAAAATCTCTAGAAATGAATAAATACAACAACATATAAAAATTAAAAAAAAAAAAAAAAGGCAGCAAGCAGGCAAAGCAGGTAGAGGCACTTGCTGTGCCTGACAACCTGGGTTCCATCCCTAGGATCCACATGGTGGAAGGAGAACTGACTCCTGCAGACTGCCTCTGACTTCTAGACAAGTACCATGTGCACCATGAGCACACGACACATACGGCTCTGGCGGGCCTGGAACTCACTATGGAGGACAGGCTGACCTCAAGCTCAGAGAGATCTACTTGCCTCTGCTTCCAGAATACTTGGATCAAAGGGATGTACCACCACAAAAGGCTAAATGAGGATTTTTTTGTTGTTGTTTTTTTAGATAACCAAGGGATAGAATATAATTAAGTAACAGATTAGCCTAGTATGTGAGAGGCCCTGAGGCCAATCCCCACTACTGCAAGAATAATAAAAACATTTATTTCTGACTTATTTGCTACCTGAGGAAATATAATCAATACTTTTACCTTTGGCAAACATAGGCAAGATATCTGGACTCCCCCAGCTCCATGTGTACTTGCTCTCATTAAAAAGAGAGTCAAATTCTACAGGATTTTCTTTCCATCCTTTGAGTAAGGGAGAAAAGAAGCAAACAATATGATAAGAAAACAACAAAATAAAGTCTGAAAGAAGCATTCTTTAAACAGTAATTGAAGACAACACATAAAACTCAGGTTTTATTAGGCATATTATAGCCTATCTTAAAATAAATGGTGAATAATTCATTTCTTACTAAAATAATCACTTTTAAATTCTTGATTATAATGTCTAACAAAGCCGTATTTCCATATATACATACTTGTTCAGTAGCACAGAATGATGACAGACTAAAGTTTAATTCCAGAACCAATACCAGGGTGTGTTCATATGAGTAAGGCATGCTCAAAGACTTGTCACAGGAATCTCAAAGCACAGTCTTGGGGCTTGAGATGGCTCAGAAGTTAAAAGCACTTGCTGCTCTTACAAACCCAAATGTCCTAGGTTTGGTTTCCAGCACCAATACTGGGTGGCTCACAACCGCCTGTAACTCTAGTTCCAGGAAGTTGAACACCTTCTTCTGGCCTCCACGGGCACCTGAACAAATGTGGTGCATAAACAGACCAGCAAATACACACACACACACATCTTTAAAAACACATTGAGTTTTCAAATAATGACATGATTCAGTAGTAGGAAAGGTATTTATATAGCAAGCATTTTATTTGATAAAAATTGTTTCAGAACACAACCTTTAGCAACTGCACTGACATCCTCATAAAACCCAGCTATCAGGGCTACATGGCCAGGCCGAGACTCTGTTGGCACACGTGTGTGGGATATTCCCCAGCTGCCTTCATGCATTATAACATTCCTAAAAGACAATGGGGATGAACAGTTAACATATGCTAGTACTAAAACTCTCATAAGGCTTTAAGAAAAATTTTTATACAAGGAGTTAAGCCAAAAAGTTAATTTTAAGATGGAAAGGAATCTCAAAATCCAGTTGAATTGATCCCAACCCTATACTGCCACCAATTCAACACAGTAGCATGAAGGAGCCCAGGTAATAAGAACAAAGAAAACACTCGCCTATCACAGAGAAACAAGAGACAAACTACAGCCTAGTGTTTCAAGCCACAAAGCAGAGATGTTTGGTTATGTAGGAAAAAATGATATGCAGAATATTATATTGTTAAATTTTACTTAATGTGAGGATGGTATATGGTTATACAAAACAAAGTCTTTGTTCTTAACACATGCAGTACAGTGTTTGGTGAAGAAATGCCACACTGTCTTATTTTCAAATTGTTCAGGGGAAAAAACAAAAATTCTACAATACATATATCCACAGTTGAGGGTAAGAAAAAATTCACGTATTTTTAAAGTTGAAAACAAAAACGGCCAGGCATGGAGGTACATGGCCTTAATCCTAGGTCTTGGGAGGCAGAAGCAGGCAGATCTCTGAGTTTGAGGCTAGCGTGGTCTACATAGCAAGTTCCAGGCCAGTCAGGGCTATATAGTGAGACCTTGTCTCAAAAAAAAATTCTTTATAAAAAGTTTAAAAGACTATCAACTGTAAGCTAATGTTCATCAATTCATAATACAATCTTTTTTTAAACTCAGTCTGCCATTTCTAAGACACATCCTTAACCTATTGACATCCTTACCTAATAAAAGGTGCTCTAGAATTTCCATCTTCATCTAATTCATAAAGAGAATCTGTTCTCAGGCCATCAGCAACAAATAATACTAATCTTTTTGCTGGAGGAGGTAACACTGTAAACTGAGGAGTCATTCCATGAACCAAAGGAGATGTAAAATAAATGTCAAAGATCGAGGCGAAGAACACAAAATGTACAATCAATCCCAAAGCAAAAAACAGCAGCATATCCAGAATGAGCTATCTGCAAGAGAAACTGAAACAGGGAACAAAGTCAAGCTGGGCACACCTGACGAGGATCTTTCTTCTACATATCCCATAGTTTCACACACACTGGTCCTGTGTCAGGATACTACACAACTTACACTTCCCTCCTTTTACCATGGTAACAATAAACATTGTTTAACAACTTAATACTGAAATAAAATATATGATAAAGTACACCAAGCAAAAAGAAATCAAGTTCAATTAGGATTAATAAACTGTAACTAATACAGTTAACTACCAAACAATTAAAAATTAGCAAAGAAACACAGAACAGAAGGTCCTAAAACTAGTTAGGCTCAGTCACAGGAAACCCTGAGTAACACAGGAAGCATAGCTCAGTCCATTCTTGGCTGTCTGCACGGCACTGTTCCTACTCTTAGAATTTAAATTTATTAAATTACGTACACCTTTAAATTTTTTGAGTTAATTTTTTTTTTAACTTTGGTTATCAGCTTAGGGGTTTGTCTGACTCTCTTGAGTAGCAACAAACTGAATGGGAAGCATGCATTCTATCCATTTGGCTGAGTTACGCACAAGAAGTTAAACTTCACTTGTGCTTCAGAAAATCTGTACTCCTTAAATAAACACTTTATTTCCCTAAGTCAATAAAAAGGGTCTTATTTATTCATTGAATACAATTGTGTGTCCCTAGAAAAGAGCACCAAGAAGACCTATCAGAGAGCTGATGAGTCTACAAATACTAAAGAAGGAAAACCAAGCAGTGAGACGTTTAAATAATACTGTGAGATAGTGTGCCATTAAACCTCAAAGATCAAAGCATCCCCCGGAACATTTTCAAATCGGTCTATCATTCTGCTTTTGCTAACTGCGTCTACAGACTAAGAAAGTAAAACACTAGGATTTCTCTTACTTGAAGCAGTATTAGGTACATACAATGACCTTGAGCTGAAAAATACACAAGATGAGAATTACAGACACATCTTATTCTTCCTGGTCTGAAGAATCAAATATCACAAGGATGGAGAGTGTCCTGTAAAGAGGAAAGAGACATTCTAAATGGGCTTATCAAAGACAAACAAATTAAAAAATAAAATGAACCAAAGGTCAAATTAGAAGATACTTTTTTTACTCTAAGGGAATTTAGGGTGAACAAAATATACGAAGATTAATTTTGCAAGCTAATCTCTCAGTGCAATGCTTGCGTCTTTCCTAGTTTATATGATCATTAAACTACATAGTGAGCACCATCATGACAATGGTGTTCTGAATATTAATAATTTAAATACAGAAAAATCAGCCAGGATTCTATCTTGTAAGCAAGCAGTTCTCAACCTGTAAGTCGTGACCTATTTGGGGATCAAATGACTCTTTCACAGGGTTAACCTAAGACCAGTGGAAAACATAGGCATTTACATTGCAATTTGTAACTGTAGCAAAATTATAGTTATGAAGTAGCAATGAAAATAATTTTATGGTTGGGGGTCACCACAACATAAGGAACTGTATTAAAGGGTCTTTGCAGCATTAGGAAGGTTGAGAATCACTGGTTCTAAGCAAATACTTGTCAACAGTTTCTTTAAAAAATTATCTTGTCACCAGGCAGTGGTGGGTCACACTTTTAATCCCACCACTCAGGAGGCAGAGGCAGGAGGATCTCTGTGAGTTTGAGGTCAGTCAGGTCTACAAAGTGAGTTCCAGGACAACCAAAGCTATGAAAAGAAACCCTGTCTTGAAAAACCAAAAGTAAATAAATAAATAAAATATATCTTTTCTCCATTTTTATGGAGGTAAACACCTCATACATTAAAAAAAGTAGATATTAACATTTAAGATGTTTTATTACATTTTTATTTGTGCTTGTGTGTGCATCTGAGTGCATGTGAATGTGTGTGTATGCACGCGCTCGCGCGCAAGCGCTCACACATTCATATGCACGAGCATGCCGTGTCACAAATGTGGAGATCAGAAGGCAACTCCAAGATCAAACACTGGTTTTCAGATTTAGTGGCAATGCCTTTACTTACTCTGCCATCTTGGTGGCCCCAGCTATTTATTTTTCCTTGAACATGTATTATCATTTCTCTTAAAAACAAACTCTTCTCATCTAGCACGTACCACTATCACATTTTGTCCTGTAAATGCATCTTTGCTATCAAATCCCAAATTGAAAAACACAGAAGTAGTTTTTTCCTCAATTTTTGACTTATCAATAGCAGCCATGTGATTAAATAAAATGTATATGTGGGGCTTTCGATTTAGCTCAGTGGTAGACTTGTGAGTTCAGTGCATAACTATCTTTGATGATTTAATGTCTGTTTTTGTCACTTCTTAATAATTCAAGGACAGCAGGAAAGGTCATCGTTTGCATCCATTACAGTTTTACGCAAAGACTCAAATGTTTGCTGGATTAAGTTTCAATACCAATATGAACAACAGCCACTAGAGGTCGCCTTGCTTCTTTGTTTGGGATTCCTGGATAAAATCTTGACGTTTCAAAGATATTTTCAAAACAAACACAAAAAAGCCCATGTTTTACGTTTAAATAATGTATTATACATGCCGTTGCAGTGACTTGAAAGTATGAATATTCACATACTATTTATTATACCCAAACACATTTATCTCAAGCAATATTGCCATGTAACATTTTTCTTTAAAGGGAATCACTTTTTATTCATATTTATTGAAAAGGAAAACTTCATTGGGATGGTTGATTATTTGGAAACCTCCAAAATAAATGCATAACTATTAAAATTCAAAGCACACATATTCACTTGTCTAGAAAAATTTAGGATTTTTACATCTGTGGGATATTTACCATCATAAACTAAAAACTAATGAAGTATTAGACACTATCATACATTAAATCAACCAAACTTTGCATTTATAATGTTATTTGTGGTTATTTAAGAGTATGACATCCTCAAATAATTTTAACACATAAATGATTAAAGTGTTTTTTTTTTTAAATCTATCTTTTGTATTTTTATTGCTAAGAGACAAACATCAATGACTATCCTTATTCAGATGTCAGCCTAAAAGGCTTTTTTCTGGGTCAGTCTTCCAATGAAGAAAGTGTAGATTATTATTTTAAGATGTGTTACATTTGTTTATACTGTGGAACATTTGTTTTAATGACTCAAAGATGTGTTACATTCTTTTATGTTGCATTTGTTTGACTCTGTGAAGCTGTGTTACACTGCCTGTCTAAAACACCTCATGATCTAATAAAGAGCTGAAAGGCCAATAGTAAGGCAGGAAAAAGGATAGGTGGGGCTGGCGGGTAGAATTAATAGAAGGAAAAATCTGGGAGAAAGAGAAGAAAGAGCAAGAAAACAAGGAGAGGAGGACAGTAGGGGCCAGCCACCCCCACACACACACACACAGCCAGTCACGGAGTAAGAGTGAAAGTAAGATAAGAAAAGAAATAAGAAAAGAAAAAAGCCTAGAGGCAAAAGGTAGATGGGGTAATTTTAAGTTAAGAAAAGCTGGCAAGAAGAAACAAGCCAAGCTAAGACCCAGCATTTATAATTAAGAATAAGCCTCTGTGTGTGATTTACTTGGGAGGTGGGTGGCAGGCCCCCAAAAGATCAAAGAGCAAAAAGGCAAAGAGAAAAGAACAAAAACAACCAACAACAAGAAAGAAATTTCCAACAACTATTAATAAATTATAAGTGGAAGTCAGAAATTCTTAATATCCCAGTGTGTTTCTTAATATCCCAGTGTGTACATCAAAGCTATTCATGCATAATCCAGAGAGGCAAAGTTAGCCTATGATAAGACTGGTCAGTTGATTTGCTAAGAAATGCAGTTAGATAAAGAAGTCTCCAGTTACAGGGCAAGAACTAGAAACAGTAACTACAGATGTGTATAACAGGTCAGCCACAGAACTTAAATATTAAACTTCGGACTCAGAGGCAAACATTTTAAATTTATTTTTGATTTGCACTTTAGAATCCAGACCCTAAACTTAAAGCTGCTGCCTCTTTTAGTCCTACTGACTTAATTGCTCTTCTAGGCTCCATTAGCCATTGGTATTTGTGTTTTAAAACCTGCTAAATGTCCTCAGTATCCAATATTCCATCAATTAATAACTGACCATTCTAACATCTGTTGCCAACCAGCTACCAGGCACCGTGACAAGAGCATTCACAATTCCATGTACTTTCATTATCCCCCAGGGCAGATAAATGGAAGCGAGGCTGAGAGAATTTAGGTTCAAACATTTTCAATGTCTCACAATAAATAATGTGTATAGGCTTTTCTATCATCTTAAGTGCAGTTCTCCTCACGAACCCTGAATGCAGCTTTCTAAACATCCTCATCACAAAGAAGGAAAAAGTGTACATAAACAATACATTTCTGCTCATGTCTTGCCCATGACATTCACTAATCCTCCATTCCAAAATTTGGTTCCATTTTTAATTTCTTTGGCAATCTCAAAGTAAGGACTGATAATCCCTTTTGCTAAGAAATGTGAAACATAATACAATATTGGCCATTTTATACTATTTTCAGGATATTGAAGATCTTTTTTTCTGATTGATCAATAAATGGTAAGAACAGTACTTACCCAAAGAACTGGAAGCTAAAGTTTTATTTAAACAACAACAAAATCCTTACTACTAACACTATGTTTCAATTATCTTACAATGTGGCAAGGTTCCTTATAGTCTTTTACACTCTGGGTTAACTTTCTCCCTGTCCCCCTGTTCCCTGTCCCCAACTGAAAACATTCATGCCGATTCCATGCTCCTCCTCCCACCTTCATATCACAATGTCACATATAACACTGTTTTAAAAGCTTCTCAGGAAATCCAAACAACAGTAATAACGACGACCCAAAAAACAAACAAAAACCTCTCAAAGCCTCGTTCAAATGCAATTTTTGTTTATTGAGACTGATTAAACTGAAATAAAAGCCTACATTTAACTTCTGGCATACTTTACATGTAAACCAATAACCAGACCTAAGGTCATATAACAATGCTCTATTTTTATATTCCACAAAGCTAAAGGAGACATGCTGTGGGATGTGCGGGATGTTAAATGCGTTTCTCTGATTGGTTAATGAATAAAACACTGATTGGCCAGTAGCCAGACAGGAAGTATAGGCGGGAGAAGCAGAGAAGAGAATTCCGGGAAGTGGAAGGCTGTGAGGCAGAGAGACGCTGCCAGCGCCGCCACCATGACAAGGTAGATGTAAGGTACCGGAAGGTCACGAGCCATGTGACAACTTATAGACTAATAGACATGGGTTAATTTAAGATAGAAGAAGTAGATAACAAGAAGCCTGCCACGACCATACAGTTTGTAAAAAATACAAGCGTCCATGTGTTTATTTTATAAATGGGCTGTCGGGACTGCCGGGGCTTGGCGAGACCCGGAGAGGAAACTCCAGCTACAGAGACACTTCAGTGCTTCACTAGAACAGAGCAGGTAGTTAGGACTGCGGCGTATTCATTTTATTGTCTGTTCAGAGCTATTTAGTAGGGAAAGAAATCTATAACCTGGGAAAAGTGGCAATCTGTGTGTAACAAAATAGAAGGTACCAGGCCTAGCAGTCTAATACTAACAGCAGGGAAACATCCCTTATCACCTCAGCCTACAATCAAGGAATATCACGAGAGATAAACGATCTTCCAAACTTAGAAGTATAGTTATATGCTAACGTTTCATGAAGGAAATCAAATCTCTCTACAGCGTGCAATGTTTTAAATCGTTAAGCTCCACAATCAAAAACTTTGATTCTAGCCTAAATGAAATCAGAAAAATTTCAGGGAATTGTGGGAAGAATGATTTTGGACAAAAGATGGGTGATGCTGGTGCCACTAGATGTGTCCTACTGGAATGGGCTTGACCAGGTCATCGAAGCTGCCCAGACTAAAGTTTACAAACTCCTACTGTGAGACAGCGCTTTACAGTTTGGAATTTTATGTACTTATGTATGTTAGCTCCAAGGGTTTACAGAGCACTTAGTTGATCATCCAAGTCCAGGCAGTTCACAGATGAGTGCAAAGGCAACTCCAAACTCAAGTGCTGCAATTTCCGCCTAGGCTCTATCTGCACCCTGCAGCTTGCTAGGTCTAACTCTGGGGACCGAGGGGACGCCCTCCCTTAACCGCAAGGACTCCGTGCAGTCGCTAGACCTCCAATAGGGAAGGGTGAAGCAGGCAGATTCTGAGTACTGTACACCGCACTTGCCGTCTGGGCGAAGACAGCAAACAGCGGCCAAACCTGAAGCGTGAAGGGAGCTGCAGGCACGCTGCCTCCGGGCTGGCTCGGCCACACCTCAAGTGCAAGGGTCCCGGGACTTTACCTGGGGCTTGTCCGGCTCAGGCCCGGGCTCGGGGACGGGGCTTTCTCAGCACGAAGGCAGGACCCAAGGCCACGAAAGGTCCCTCAGCCCTCTCAAAGCACAGCCAACCCGCAGCCCTCAGTCACCTCCGCCTCGGCCCCTCAAGGGAACGCCCCCAACCTGCCCAGGCCTCCGCTGCTCTCGCGATAACTCTCTGGCCTGCCCCAGGAACTCCAGCCAATCCGCGAAGGGTTGTGGGCGTGGCTTTACGTTTGAGTCTAGAGCGGGTCCTTCAATCTTCGGACTCCTGGGCCTAAAGTGGGTGGGGCTGAGGCGGGGACGGGGCGGAGCAAGGACGGGACACAAACCAGTTCTCGCGAGACTAGAGACCAGGAAGACGCCTGCAGAGCCGGCTGCTGGTGCAGCGGCGGCTGAGGCTGCAGGGGCTGCTGCATCCCGGCCGTCTGCCTCCCAGTCCCGCCTGGCCTCTGGGGGAGAAGGGACGCAGTCCCCGCCCGGGCTGTCCAGGTGCTCCGTGGCTCCCGGGACGTAGCGGGGATTCAGGTTGCGGCCTGTCAGGCCAGGCAGGGAAGCACCCACACTCCTGACAGAGTAAGATGGCGGCGATGGCACCCGGAGGTGGAGGCAGTGGTGGCGGCGTAAATCCATTCCTCAGCGATTCCGATGAGGACGACGACGAGGTAGCGGCGACCGAGGAGCGGCGGGCGGGACTTCGGCTGGGTGCTGGGGTCGGCCTAGATCCTGGCTCTGCGGGCTCGCTGTCGCCGCAGGACCCCGTGGCCCTGGGGAGCGGCGCGCGACCAGGGCTCCCTGTGGAGGCGGCCGCCACTCCGGCGGCCTTGGGGGGCAGCGGGGAGACCCCTGCCCGATTGTCCATCGATGCCATCGCCGCCCAGCTGTTGCGCGATCAATACTTGCTGACTGCCTTGGAGCTGCACACTGAGCTGTTGGAGAGCGGCCGCGAACTACCGCGGCTGCGCGATTACTTTTCCAATCCTGGCAACTTCGAGAGGCAGAGTGGGACCCCACCAGGGATGGGGGCGCCTGGGATCCCTGGAGCATCCGGCGTTGGAGGCGCTGGAGGTCGGGAACCGAGTACGACGTCGGGCGGAGGGCAGCTCAGTAAGTAGGCGCAGCCTGTCACACCTGCAGATATGGGATTAAGAGTTACTGTGCTGTTGAGGGGTACTTGTGGGCGTGTTCTGAGTCTAAGGTCGTTTTGAGAAGCGTATTGAGCGAGGTGGGAGGTGTCCTGCGTAGTGGAAGCAAAAAGATCCCTCTGTAGCTGTTCTTTGTATGGGCAGGTGTTAGCACTGCTGCTGGCCCCCCTGTTGGTATTGGGACCTATAACATCAAGAGTTTCCAGTTTATTGGCTATTCTGGCACTCTAGAAAGCTTCCTTATTACTTGGACATTTTGCTCTAGGTACTTTTCCTTTCTTCTACAGTCTCTTGAATCACACTACCAGGAAATAATGTTTCTTAGTAATTCTTTGATTCACTCAAGAACAGAGAAAGAACAGAATAGGAAACATCAGTGCTCTCTACTAAAGCTGGATGCACTGAAGACCTTTTGTCTTTGAGAGACTTAACTCAAAAATTGGTTTTTCTGTTATTTTATATAATCTATGTTAATAAGAAGGAGGAAATGGATTTTTCTGCTTCATAGGATGTGTCTGTTAAATATCAACATAATTTAATTTCCCTACCCCAATTTACAGGAAAGTTATGGAACAACTAAGGATTTTCTGTCACCTTTTTTTTTCACCATAGCACCACTGTGTAGGCTTTTTTTCTCTGAATAAGCTAGTGATCTATGTATTTTTCTTGCTGCATAATTTTTAGCAGCAGAGTAATCACTGATATAATCATTATTTTTATATATAAGGTTTATATGAGGATTCTCAATGTTCTTTTTGAGAGGCATCAAATTTTTCACACACTGATGCTAATACTTTGGTAAGGCTAACTGGAATTTACTAACAGATAAGCCCAATTGATTTCTCTTAGTGTCTGTAGTTTTGAATGATTCCGGAGATATAAATTGCTAAAGTTTGATGTAGTAGAACTGGGAAGAGTGCATTTTCTATCAGGGTAAATCCGAAGCACATTTCCTTCTTTCATAACTGTCTAAATTACCTAATGATTGTCACCTGGCAAACTCCCTCATCAAGACCCAGGCCAAATGTCACTTTTATAGTTCTTTATGTGTATCCCAGGTTTAGTGAGTTTTAACCTACATCATAGCCTTTAGCTCTTTTGTATTTGGTTTGATGGCAGTAATGATTTAATATAGTCATTTCACATGTTAGTTTGGAGCTCCTGCCTCTTTTCCCAGGACTGAGGATTAAACCTAGGGCCCTGCATCTGATAGACAATCTCCCTACTTTTGTGTGTGCATGCATGCATGTGTGTATGAACGAGAGGATGACTACTGGTTGGAAGATTTGGACTTTTCATATTTTACCTTTTAAGTGGTAGATCTAGGATTTGAACTCAGATCTCTATCTATCTTAACATTCTACCATAGCTACTGTATTTTAAGATACAACTCAGCAAAAGTTTCAGTATATCATCAAGCAAAGTATCTAATAATTCAGCATATGTCTTCACTCAAAATGACCAATCAACGTAGAAGGCAAGCAAGGTGATACAAAATTGATTAAAAAAAAAATGAACTGAGAAAGCAATAGCACCGTATTGAGGGGGAGATGAATGATCTGTCAGGAGCATCACTGCATTTCATCAAGGTAACTGCACTGCAAAGCATTAAACTCAAAGTCAGGACAGTTACACAGTTCGTGTGATTGTAAGCTATAAAGGATAGTTGATTTAGTCTCCAAGAGAACTAAGCACATTTTTAATAGAATATTTTTTTATTCTTTTATTCTTTCAGAATTTCATACAATATATTTTGATCATATCCATCTTCCATTCCTCCCCCCAACTCCTCACCCAACCAACTTCACATTACCCTCCTCTCTTTTTAAATAACCCACCAAGTCTTTTGTGCTGCCCATAAACTCATGGGTGTGAGCCCCTTCACTGGAACATGGTTGCCCTACCACGGGCCATACCCTTAAAAAACTGACCCTCCCCGAAAAGCCATCAACTGTCTCTGGCTCCCCAGGTAGTTGTGTGAACTTGTGAACCCCTCCCTACTCCTTGTTGGAATGTTGATTGACTTGCTCTTGTGCAGGTCTTGTTCAGGGCCTCCACAGCCACTATGAGTTCATTGGGCTGGGTCCTGATGAGGAAGTTTGTCAGGTGACAATTAGCTATCATTAGTCCTGTCATATCCAAAAGACAGTTTTTTTCCAGTCCTCCCCAACCTCTGGCTCTTAGGGTCTTTCTACCCCTTCTTTTGCAACAGTCCCTTGAGGCTTGGGGGTGTATAATATAGATATCTCATATTTATATTTGTGGTGGAGCACTCTGCTGGCATTCTCTGATCAGTTGTGAGTTTCTACTTAACTACCAGCCAGATCCAAGCACATTTATCAACTGTTCTGAATCAAATCATCTAACAAGGCCAGATTAGCTTGTATGATTGATTTCAGTCAAGCTTAGTTGCATGATTGCATGTGATTTTCCTGGTGATAAAACATGGCTCAGCCTCAGGGAGAATAAAACAAAGTTGTAAGCATGGGTGTAGCTTTCCAGATTGTCTCACCCATTTCAAAAATTACAAGTCAGTTTGTTTTTAAAACCTGCTAGTCCTGTTGTGGAGGTATAAGATTGCTCAAAGTAATGTCATCAGATTTTTTCTGTTTTTTCTGCCGTCTCTCAGTTCTGTATTTGTGTGCTGCCTTACTTTCAGCTTGCATCTGAACCACCAGTTTTACCCTTACTTTGTGGCTTGATCTCATCCTCTATCTCTATTCTTACTTGAATTTTTTTTCCACTTTACTATTACTAGCTACTGTTGTTAACACAGATTTACATTTCCTTGCACTGGAATACAAATGTAAAGTAAATAATCCTGTGCACCATGTATGAAATGAAGCCAGTGTTGGTGTGCGTGCCTTAATCCCAGCACTCAGAAGGCAGTGGTAGGTGGATCTCTTGAGTTCAAGGCCAGTCTAGTCTACAGAGTGAGTTTTAAGACAGTCAGGGATACACAGAAAAACCCTGTGTCAAACAAAACAGAACAGAACAACAACAACAAAAAAAGTATGAAATGAATAGAATAAAGTAGAGAGGAAAAGCATATAAACATCATAGTTGTTAAGAGAACATGTTAAGGGAACACAAATAAAAGGGCACTTGTGGAACTTTCAAGAAGAGATGGAGGAATGCAGAGGATATGAAAACCTCAATGCAAGGTAATTAACATTTTTGCTTTTCTTATTTAATGTATATGTGTGTGTATCCACAAGCAGAGACCAGAGGACAACTATGCAGAGTTAGTTTTCTCTTTCTACTTCTCCATGAGTCCAAGTGATAGAACTCAGGTAGTCAAGCCTGGTAGGAAGTACCTTTACCCACTTAAGGCAGTTCACTGTCCCTTTCTCTTAACTTTTTAAAATTAGCATGCAAAGTAGTAGGTGTCATTATGGCATCTCATACATCCATACCTCTACCTTATTCATCCCCTCTTCCTCACTGCTGTTCCTTCCCTCCCTCTGAATTGTCCCCTCTTACACTTTTATGTCACATGTATTCCATTACTCATCCTCCACCACTGCACTTCTTTATAATTCCCCCCTATCACGGTCCGCTTTCTACTTTTACTTTTTTACACACATACAACCCATATGTACACATAGGAAATTAAATCTAAGGCCATGTATGAGAGAAAACATGTTATTTGTCTTTCTGAGTCAGGATTATTTTACTTAACATAATGATCTCCAGTTCATCCAGTTTCTTGAAGATACCATGATTTTATTTTTCTTCCAGAAAAATTCTGTTGTGTGTGTTTGGGCATATAGGCTGTGTGTGTGTGTGTGTGTGTGTGTGTGTGTGTGTGTGTGTGTGTGTGTGTTATGAATAGTACACAAATAGCTGTGACTGTGCAAGGATCTCTATGGTGTACTGACAATAGTTCAGGTATATATACCCACAAATGGTACAGCTGGGTCGTCATATGATATGCCTGTTGTTAGATTTTGAAGAGCTTCCACACTGCCTTCCTTAATGGCTGTATGAGCTTACATTCCCACCAAGGCATCCTCTTTCCCCGCATCCTCACCGTCCACTGTTGTCTTGATGGTAAGCATTTTTTAAATTTTTTTCTTTTAAATTTATTTATTTTGTGTGAATGAGTGTGTTCTGTCTGCATGTATGCTGTGCACCATGTGTATGCTTGGTACCTGTAAGGGTTTGGAGAGGTTGTCAGACACCTGCAATTTGAGTTAGAGATGGTTGTGAGCCACCATGTGGATGCTGGGAACTAAACTTATGTCCTCTGCAAGATCAACAGGAACCCTTAACCACTGAACCATCTCTCTAGCCCTAGTCATAACAATTCTAAGACAAAATAGAGTCTCAAAGCAGTTTTATTTTTTATTTCCTTTATGACTAAAGATGATGAGCATATTTTCAAATATTTACTGGTCACTTTTTTTGAGAACTATGTATCTGATTCATTAGCCCATTTGTTGATTTGATGGATTATTTGTTTGGTATTTAAGTTTTAGAGTTCTTTATTCTAGGTATTAGTCCTCTGTCCTATGCATGGCTCTTTCTTGATTTCTTTTTTAATTTCATTTTAAATCAATTGGGCTACAGACTGGTACATACTAATTCCATTTTAAGTTTGCTTCATGTTGGTGTGTACATATATGACTTAGTTGTAATGGCTTATGAGCTTATTTAAAGCAAAGAGCAATTCTTGATGAATCTTATGTTTCACTCTTCTCCCTCTCCTCTACCCTCAGTACTCAGTGGATAATCTAGGACCCCACACATGCTACACAAGGTCTGCCACAGAGTTACGTTCTCCAGCCTTCCTTCCTTTCCTTGCTTCCTGCTTCCTTCCTTGCTTTTGTTGTTGTTGTTGTTGTCGTTAAAGACAGGATCTTTCTGGGTTGCCAAGCAGCCACTGAACTCTGTGTATAGCAGAGGCACACCTTGAATTCTTCTTGGCCCAGCTTTCAGCCATAAGTACAAAGCTGATCT